ACAATGAAAGCTGTAAGTTCAGCTTGCCTTGGCTGTTTTGCCTAATTCTAGTGTCTCTTCTGCAAAGGCTTAATTTGCCCATGAGCATGAGGGCTTCTGTCAATGCAAGCACTGCGAGGGAAAGTCTCCCTCTGCACAACCCCAAGGTGTGATGCCAAGCAGGCATCTTAGACTCAATTTACTCTACATCAGATCATTCATTTCTTACCACAAGTGGAATTGTATAATGGAGTTACTTATTTTTGGCCAACATTAAAAATAGATATTGCAAAGTGCCAATTCAGCTCCCAAAAGAGCTGAGATCCATTACGACCGCTGGTGGCGTGAAGCACACGATGTCTGCTGCACCCTCACCGAGCACAGCAGAGCAGCACGGGCATTTCGGAGAGAGGAAAACGAGCTTCCCAAAAGCAAACCTCTGCTCATCTGGGGGCAGCGAAGGAATCACTTGGACATGGGATTTGCTGCAGGGCTTGGTCATCCCAGGAAGACTTTGGTGGGAAGCAATGAAGGTAGCAGAGGAACCTGCCCAGAGATCTCCACCCAGCTGGAGGACATCCCTGCAGACCTGGGGCCTCATCCTGGGCTGAAGGGGGAGTGAGAAGTGCTGGCCTCCTGCACAGGTGCCTTCTGGCCTGGGTCAGCAGCAGCACTCAACCTAGCCTGGAAATCCTATCTCAGGTCACAGGTGTTTGTCGCTATCCAGCCTGACTGAGTGACTGATGGCTGCACGGGCAATCTGGTGTTCAGACACTGTCCTCTCCGTTCAGAGCAGGGCTTTCCGGTGATTCCTAAACCACAATCTTTTTTCATTGTCTTGACATTAATAAATCCTAAAAATTCAGGTAATATTTCACACTCAGGATCCAAATGGCAAGCGTGCATGGCATCCCCAAGATGATGAAATGCGGTCATTCTGGATAACAGCCTGCTGGCTCCACCCGCCACCCCAGGACGCACTTGCCATTCCAGGTCTAAATCATTGCTGTTAATAATAAGGAGTTCAACTTATATGGCATTTTTCATCCAAAGATCACCAACTAGCGTTTACAAACTTCAGTTCAGCCTCAAAACACAATAGGGTAGCTCAGAGCAACCAAGAAAACTTGGGCCAGTTTACTTTTTTTCTTTTAATTTTTTAAGGAATGCATTTTTTCATGACAAGTTGGCGAGGCCCTGCCCAGGCTGCCCCAGGAGCTGTGGATGCCCCATCCCTGGCAGTGCCCAAGGCCAGGCTGGGGGCTTTGGGCAGCCTGCATTGGGGGCAGGGAGGGACCATGTGGGCTGTAAGGTAATTTTTTCCCAAATTTATTTCCTTTTAGCATTTATTTTGATAACTCCTGCTGTGCAATTTTGGAGTTCCCAGCACGAGGGTGCTGGACCTGGCCGTGGGGCTGCCACACAAGAGCAGACCCGTGGGCAGTGAAGGTGCCCGGGCTGTGCACGACTGGCTCCCACATCAGCAAAATAATTCACAGCGAGGTTTCCCAGCTCGCAGCATTTAACTTGCCAGCTGGCTTTGAACACTCCTGGTAGACATCCTCATCTGCCTTTGAATTTCATGAACTTTGAGACTTTTAGGGAATGCTAAATAAAATATTTTTCTGACAAAGCAGCAATGAATCATTGAATAAGAGAGCCAGGAATCCACAGGGGAAGCTTGGACTTGTGGGTTTTGCTAAAAGTGGTTTGAAATGTGTTACTCCTGCTCTGCAATTACAGGATAGCAGACAAGAAGAGCTGACACCTGAGAGGTGCAGGTAGGAAATTCTTCCTTAGGTAAGAGAATATGCTTCTTTTTTTTTTCTTCAGGTCCTAGTATAATTTTTTTATGTGCAAGACCTGAAAACTGCTTTAAAATCTCAATAAATAATTTATTGTGGAATAAAAAGCTTATTAAGTACGCAAGAGGTTCCTAAAAGTCTTGAATGTGTGATTTTGCACAGCTGTTACAAAATAATGGAGGGATGCAGAGAACATGAAAGTGAACTGTGGAAACTACAGATGGAAGCAAGGGGAGGTTTAATCAATTTATCTGGCCTGCACGTGGGTCATGGCTCAGCACTGCAACCAGAGAAACTCCAAAGCAGCAGCATTTGAGCCAAGGTCATGGCTTGGGCACAGCAGCTAATCCTCCATCATCCACACAGGGGCTGCAAGCTTCCCGGTGGTTTATTTTGGTGCAGGGAATGTGGTTGTTACATGAAAACTGAGACTTTGTGACGGTGTAGAGGTCTGTTTATTTTAAGGAGAAAAAACCAGACTTGATTAGCCTGTGGCTTGCTTTGGCAAAGTCAGCAATGAAAAATGAAATTGTGTTTCAGATTGAATTTATTCCTTTAAAGTTCTTTAACTTTCCTAAGGACTTTCCTAAAGAAGACTAATTTGTTGATTTAGCTTTATTGATTCCGTTTTCTGTTATGCTAAACAAAGAAAACACAAACTTGCTCCACAAATTTTAAAAAATTCCCTCTGCCTTCAGCTAAACTGCAGAGAAGTGGTGTTTTCCAAGCCCGAGCTGCTGCCAACCCCCTGCCACGCCTCGCTGCTGCTGGGGCTGCCCAAAACTCCTGACAAGGATGCTCCTCAGCAAGGAGAGCAGCATGTGCCCACTGGCACCCAGCAAGCCACAGGACACCAGCACTTTTTGGGTGGATTGTTGAAGGAATCAAGAGTTTTCCAGCATTGGAGAGGGCTGCCCACAGCACCCGTCCTGGGTTGCTTGTGCTGGGGACAGCTGGTGGGATGTGGGACTTGTTGTGGTCTAACCCAGCCGGCAGCTCAGCACCACACACCCTCTCCCACAGTGAGATGGGGGAGAGAATCAGAAAAAATAAAAATAAAATTAAAAAAAAGGCTTTGAGTTGTAATAAAGACAGTTTATTAGGACAGAAAAGAAAGAATAATAATTATTATTATTATAGTAATAATAATGTGTATAAAACAAGTGATGTACAGTGCAATGGCTCGCCACCTGCTGACCAATGCCGACCCCATCCTTGAGCAGTGGCCCCCCCAAACCCAGCCAGCCACCCCATATGAATTATTCAGCATGACCCCACAAGGTATGGAACACCCCTTTGGCCAGTTTGGGTCAGCTGTCCTGGGTCTGTCCCCTCCCAGCTCCTGCTGCACCCCCAGCCTGCCTGCTGGTGGGACAGAGCGAGAAGCTGAAAAGCCCTTGGCTTGGTGTAAACAGATTTTCGGTCATAGCATTTCAGAAATTAGAAATTTAGGCTGAAAACTCTTCCATAGCAAGGAAAAAAAAAAAAAAAAAAAAAAAAAAAAAAAAAAAACAACCAACAACGTCAACAAAAAAATCTTGGTACCTAGAGCAAATGAACATTTAGAATCCAGCATCGTCTGTTACTCTCTTTTTTCTCTGTTGTTTTCCTTGTCCTTTTCAGACTCTAACAAGTCTGAAAATTGGACTCTGAAAATTGGGTTTGCAGAAGCCAGTTCAGCCTGTCACCTCTGAAAGAAAATGATACCCACACCATCACTCTGGGGAATAGCACCGCTGCCCTGCACAGCCACATCTCTCCCAGAGCTGCTCGCCCAGCCCACCATGTCCAATTTTAGGAAGTTTTCAGGGGCTGAGCCCTGGGAGCGAGGCCGCACACCCAGTGCCCTCACGGCATGGACAGACAGACGGATGGACAGACAGACAGCCTCTCCCAGCAGGGGCTGCAGCTCAGGGGCCAGGTGAACAGGGCAAGTTCAAGCCACAGCAGTCATCGAAGGGCAGGCTGCAGGTTTCATTAAGGGGAGTTACAGAAGCGAACATTGGTGATTCACTGCGTATCGCCACCTCGGTGTTTCATGTTATACTTCCATAGTACAAGGGGTGAATGCATAAATCCATCAGAAAACCTTTGGGAAAACTGTGGAGGATATCAAAAGCCTGCTTTGCTGGGGTTTTGGCATACCTCCTCGCGAAGCATCCATCTCAAACCAAGCTCTTACTGCACTGGAGAAGATAGTCAAGCATCTTCCAAGGGCACTGTGATTTATACCTTGCAAAGCCTTATGCCAAAACATCAGTGCTTGAGATCGTACCTTGGCTTCGCAGTGCTTCCTGAGCAGCATAAGCCAGGCAGTAAGACCCAAAAGCATGGACAAAGCTCTCAGAAACTGCTTCCACTGAATAATACAGCCACAGGAGGTCAGGTAACCATGCTCACTCATGGGAGAAAGGCAGCAAAGCAAGAGCCTAACAGGGCAGTTTGCTCAGCCCACAACTCTCAGCCTCCCCACAGCCCCCGGGAAGTCCCTGCGAAGACTGGGAGAGGCAGGGGGAGCATCGCAGAAAGGATGAGGTGGGACATGAGGATCCCCCATGGGGGCGGTTTTGCAGCGGGGGTACCAAGGGTGCCCCCCGCCCACGTGATGCTTGCATTAGGGGAACTTCATCCCCTCTTGCTCTGTGTTCACACCCAGCATCCTGAGCCACCCGTGGGCAGCCGAGGTGCTGCACAAAGGTAGCACAACATCACTCACCAAGAGCCAAACCCTCGCCCCCGCTGCCCCCTGGGCACCTCCAGCCATCGGCAGAGCCCCAGGCTCTGGGGGAGCCCCAGCAGCTCCTCCAGCACAACGCTCCTCACCCCGCTGCCCCCACACCACCACCTCCCCCAGGCAGCACGCCCCGCTTCCAGCACCAGAGGCGGCTTTCGGGGCAGCAAAGTGCCAAAATTGGTGATTCTTCGCACAGTTGCCGCGGAATTGCAGAGGCTCGGATGATCCCTCAGACAAATGCTAAACTGCCCACGGAGATTTAACAGTTTTGAGAGTGATAGGTGCAGCGAGAAGCTAGCATTATGTTTTATTAAAGCCTGTTGAAAAGTTTATGGGCTTGCTTCTGAATGAGGCTTTTTCTCCCCCTAACTACATCTCATTACTTCTCCCGAACACACTGTCAGTCACTCTCGTTGTGTTTGCAGATAGAAAGGGGGCTTTATAGGTCATCTTATTTGTTGGATCGCAAATATAACAAAATGCTGCAAATGACTTAAGGCACTTGGACAGCTGAGCAATTAGAATCCCCAAAAGCTTCTCTAATTAAACAGGAATTTCTTTCGTGCCTTAAGTGGTGGGGTTTGTTTGTCGTTTATTGGAGAAGCTCTTGCCAGAACGCACGTAAAACCCAAAATAGCGTGCCTCCATGTTGCAGAGGAGGATTTTTAAGCCAAAACTTCTGATGGAAAATTTTCCAGCCTGTTTTGAGCAGGGAAAAAGAGGGTTGGGCATTGACACAAACCTGACACCCACTGTACCCCCCTGACCTCCCAAGGCCTGGCCGCTGCAGGGCAGGCAGGTGCCAGCAGCACCCCCCTGTGTGCAGCCCACAAGCCCCCTGCCCCGACAGCCCCACCTGGCACGGGGAGCACCTAAGGGCCCCCGGCTGGGTCCCACGTTATCCTGGAGAGCACAACATCTCTGGAATCGCAGATTTTCAGAGCTGTGGATGTTTTCCCTAATTGTATCGCTGGATGGAAACCCGCCCCGGTTTTGCAGGGACTGGTGTTTGGCCTTTTTGCATCGTTGCCTTTATAATCCTGTACAATATTTCCTCCAGCCCTCCGGAGAACGTCAGCATTTACGTACAAATCACATTATTTCATCTCAATTTGCATGCATCTTTCAGCCAGCCTGGTGTACAGGAGAGCTCCTGTGGTAAACAAAGATATCAAGCCATTAAAATGCAGTAACTAACTTTCAGGAACCATTTGACTAATTCCATGATTCGGGAACTCTTAGGCAGCCACCACAGCAAACCGTGGGGCTAAACGGCGTGAATGCTAAATAGTCAGACCTGCTTAGCTTTCCTTCAGAGCACCAGCCTGATTTTGAGTTTGTATGTGTGGTGCTTGTTTGTTCCCTTTATCCTCCATGTGCTCTCCTGCTGGGAAACTGAAAATACGTACACAAATAAGGTGATCTATAATGGACTCCAGTGGGAATGGGAAGCAGAATGAAGAAGCCCTAAAGCAGAAATAGCTTTGAAACAGTGATATTTATGATAGGAACGTATCATTTCACTTAACTGGCATTGCCACAGGCACAAAGAACAAGGTTTCCGCCTGCATTTGCCTATCTGGAGCTGCAACTGCTGCCCACCTACTGCAGGGAGGGCACTGACTGCTTCCCCCTCCCCGGGCAGCTCTGCACAGGGCTCATGGCAAACGCGGTGAGGGACCCCGGGCACCTTCACCAGTGCTGAACAAACACAAAGACGGGCATCAGGCCTCAGTTGTTTGGCTTTCACGTATCTGAAATGGCTATTTATTGCATGAGTATATCTTAAATGTGCGCTTGTGTGGTGGGCATGCAGCTCGCAGTAGCACTGGTTGGGTTTTTCTCATCGCAACGTGCGCTCATTAAGCGGGATTTGATTTGCTGTAAGGACTGTCATTCCCCGCTCTCCTCTTGCAGGAGGCAAGTCGGTGATCCTGCTCTTACCCATCAAAAAACAGGAGGAATTTAAATTGGTTTGCTGAACGGATGCCACCTCGATTCAGCCTCCGGGGACTGGTTATTTCTCTAGATTAATACATTCACCTTAATGCAACGGCGGTTTTGCCTCCGGGGTGAGACTTTCATTGCAAGCTGGAGTGATGTGACAAAAAGGTGACAAAAATCCTTAAACCCCAACTCACGACTACAAACGAGCTTCAATGGGAAATATATATTTTTTTTCTCCACATAGCAGAGATTTGATTGGAAAACGTTTTTCAGTAGAATGCTTCTGGTTTGTCCCTTTTTCCCTACCCCATGCACTGATTTTAAGCTCCCAGGAGCAGGCCCCAGGACCACGCAGTCCCATCCTCCTGCCCAACTCTGCAGGCAGAGTGGAGCCAAGGGGCAAGCAGCTGCACTGCATGCCTGGAGGAGATGCAGGTTGCTGGGGGCTCCCCTGGCCCCACTCTTCCATATTTAGCTTTTTTTGAAGGCAAGTAATTCAACAGCATGGTCTTCAGCAAGGACAGCAAGCATTACCCAGCTAAAAGGCTCAGGTATAGATCCTCACTTTTTTTTTTGTCATGGCTGGTGTCATTACACATCACTCAATTCTCAAATTAAAAATGGGTAAAACATCCTTTGTCTCTTCAGACATACCATACGCTGTTTCACGGAGATCACTGAATGCTGACAGTAGAGACCAGCTGGCTAGAAACAGGAGCTCTGGAGGAAGGAACTCAGTAATGCTGCAAAGTATTTCTCATCAAGATTTTCCCTACTACTTTTTCCATCAGAAAGCACTTATTCATCTGAGAGATTTTTATTTTTTTTCATAGAAACACATCCGCTCAGTGAAGCTTTTCTGGAAAATGACTCTCAAACCCAGGGCAGGATTTCTGGCCAGGCCCTTCGCAGAGCAGCCTTTGGTGCTGCATTGTAGAGACTAACGGAGCCCATGCTGCAAGTCCATGCTCTGATCAGCATCCCCAGGGCCTGAGATCCCCCCAGTTTCCAGGCCCTGCTCCGTGGGGTGCATCCCCGTCCCCACAGCGTGGCTGTACAACTGCTCAGCACCACCCACCGCTCCCACCACCCAAACAATAACTTTGCCCTCCCGATTTTCCAGCTGGCACAAAAAGGCTGGGGTTTCATTCCTCACCAGAAGAAATTATTTCTTGAAACCTTTGGGTTTTGTCACAACAGAAAGCCATTTCTAATTATATTCTATAGGGAAAAAACTAGACCAAGCTGGACAGAGTGTTCACCTGGAGGTGCCAGTTATCTGGTTGATGTCTCTTGTTGTCACAGAGGCCTTCAATCTTTTGCAGTGGCAGTTTTATGTCCCATCAGTTCCCTTGCCATCAGTGAAATACCCCATGAACAAGTGAATGGAGAGTGAACCTATAATCAGCCACAATATAGGCAGCTCAAAACTACTCCACATCTGCATTATACTCCTCCAATCCTTTAAAATATTAGCCTTCCAGCAGCATCTCAGACTGTTTTAAAGTTTAGAAGTGCACAATCACCTTGCAGCATGCCGTTACCTGAGCCTGACCTCGGAGCCATCTGTATGTTCAGCACAGTGCAGTGCCTACCCTGGGAGTTCAACCTTACTGCATGAGTAAACAGCTGCCCGAGACGGTGTCCTCGTGCACATCCCTAGTCCTGCCAAATGAGACACACGGGTTCACGAAGCCCAAATGCTCCAGGACAGCACCACATGCAGTGTCCTGGATATACAGCATGAAAATAAAACCAGGCCTTGCTGATTCACAAATTAAATAAATAAATAAATATTTTCCTGGAAGAAAAATTCAAAATACCCCAGTAAGACACAGCTATTAGTGCGGGTAATGCAGCACCACCAGGCTCCGTGCCATGGCAGGGAGCAGCAGAGCTGCTGCTGTGTGCTCACCTTTCTGCAGAGAGCACCTGCAGAGTGTGGCATTGGGGAGCTGCTACCTCTGAAGACACTTGATGTTTGCTGGTGTGGGACATGGAGACACCCATCTTGGCACAAGAACTGGAAGAAACCCACAGTGCTTTGTGTCCGGGGCAAAAATATTCCCCCCAAAATCCTCCGTTTTGAGGGTTGCACAAAGGTTATGCAGAAGAAATGCACACCTGTACCTCAGAGGAAATGCTTGAATGTTTGGGAAACAGATGGATTAGCATGAAATAAGCACGGGAAACATGCAGATTTTTTATTTTTTTTTCAAATGGCACCCGAGTCTAGAATTTCCCCTTCATTCATTTGCCTCTTTCCTAAAAATGCTGCAAAAGGGAAAAAAAAATACAATAACCTTTCTTGTTCTGTTTCTGCAACGAAACTAAATAGATTTCTTTTTGGGCCAGCCTAAGCCAGGATTTAACTTCACCATCTTTAAAGTTGGAGAGTAAAGCAGAAACAACAACCCAAGCATCTCTTGGCCTTTGGTGGGCTATCAGGACCTGCTCTGGCATGGGTCGGGAGGTTTCTGGGTACACCACAACTCTTTCTTTCCCGTGGTGGCTGAACTTTATTTCCAGCTACGCAGAAAGACCCACTCAGCAAGGAAATTAATGACCTGCCAGAAATACTGAAAGCAGTACAAACCAAGTATAATACGAAACAAGGGAGTGCTGACATATTTTGATAATTCGAGATCCACACCTTGCGATAATAATGAATTATTTGAACTTCTGTTGTGTTGAAGTACCAGCTGCACTTATTTTCATTAAATTGACTTACATTTTTAATAAAACATCAATCATTAATTACATAAAATGCCGGATGTCTATTGGGATCCTATCCTCTTTTCCTTGAGGTTAACAGGCATGGCATTCAATATCAGCCTGAAGCTTTGGCAAGGAATAATCAAGTTTCCAATATCCCGTAAGCTCAAATCCTAAAGCACAATGTCAGCTTTTCAATATGCTTTACTTTCTACCAGATTTATTTCTTACTTTTCCTTACTGGAAACAGGGAGCTTCCTTCCAATCAAATAGTCAATATTGTCGAGGGAACGCACCAGCTGCTGTGACAACCACAGGTTGGGTGCCCCGTTTTCTAGGGACAGCATGGTTTGTGCATGCATGCACCTGCACACGTGTCTGTAACCCCATTTCCAGTGCAACACCAGCAGGCAGTGAGTCCCTCCTCGCTGCACTCTCGTAACTGTGCTGTGTTTTTCAGCTGTCCTACCTGGGCTCCCTCACGGTGATACATTCAGCTTCTTATTACTTCTCTTCATCAGTTCCGACTTTCAATAGCATAATATGCAAAGCAGCTATCAAGCACATAGGAGATGTCTTTTTGTAATAAATCTATAATATGAGAATAATGTAGTCTCAGATGGGGAGAGGATATATGCTTAAATGTCAGACATGAGATTTAAAATTCAGTCTGCTAAGCTAGATAACATCCTTCACATTTGCATCTGTAAGATAAACAATGAGCTTCATCTCGTTTAAGATACATACTCCTGGCCTAACGCCCTGAGCTTCTAGACAGTAGCTCTGTCAGTGAACTGCCCTGTACCCAACCAGCCTGTACCTGAACTGGGGTCGAATTAAACAGAGTTGATGCTGTCTGTATGAAGCTTTTCTGTAAGTATTTGATCTATGCAACTAAATGTATTAATATATTAATATATGTGTATATATGTATTATATGTGTATATATATATGTGTATATAATATATGTGTATATAATGTATTAATATATTAATATATGTGATAAAAACATCCCAGTAATTAACAATTGCATTACTTTGGATTTCACTGAGATGTTTCATGTGTGTAGCTCAATCTGACTGAACAGGATAAAAGGTTAATAAATTTCTATAAAACATTTTTGAAATAGACGAATATTTCCAAACTATAGAGGTTGGTTTGTCATAATGGGCTCCCAACAGCATTTTGCTTAGTAAAAATGAAATTAAGATTTTCTGTGCAAGAGCTGCTGTTGGGGCCGGCCCTTCCTCATGCTCTGATACAGCCAGAACAGCCCCAGGCACCCAGGCAGAGCCCCCCCAGCCTGGCCAGGTGCCTGCTCATCCCCTGCTGACACCGGGGCCTCCAAGAGTAGCTAACAAGAAAAGAAAGTGGGGAGAATGGGGGAGTCTTCACACCACAGCCTCAGATGGCCGTATTCTACTCCTGCTTTGGTGAATCAGTAGAGGAATATCTGTCATTAAATAAAAATAATAATAAAATTGCACAACCTCAAATTAAGATCCAATGTTTATGAATATTCACTGTAAATATCATGCCAAAATATGTCTGTGCTCAGATGCCTTTTGTTCACAAAGTCTTGACAATTAAAATGTGCTAATGACATGCAGATTATTACAAATTTATCATGCAGATTTTATGTTGATGAAAGTTTAAATATACACTGAACTATCAGCCACAGACAGGGAGATGCTCATACATTGTGACACTGCAGTAACTGAGACTGAGTTCTGATTTCCTGGCATGCCGCCAGGAGAAGTCGACGCCTCACAGAATATCCATCTTTTGTCCAAAGGAAAGCACATTACAAAGTCAAAGCGTTTTATTAAAAGACAAGAAAGGAGCAAAAACAAAACAAGGACTATTTTCAGAAGATAGCTAAAGCTGCAGAGGGATTCTGCCTTTGCAGTTCTCCTTATTCCCTGCGTCCCCGCTAAAGGTTCAAGCACACTTTAAAAATGAAGAACTAAAGTTGATGCATGAGTTCTCCCAGCGCTGGGATTTAGTAAACCATATGTTGCATTGATAATGGGTGGGTTTATCTATTAGCTCTTTTTACAGTAATGAGCATTCAAAGACATTCTGACTCTAAGACACCGAGAGGAAGTTTCAAGGGTAAACTTTGAAAAATAATTCATTACTAGGTCATTGGCAGGCACTGTTTGATCATCTTAAGTCATAAGTTTACAACTGTAAATGAATTAATTCAACTGAATAAATACCTTCTGGGACAATCTGAGTGGATTCAGAGTCCAAAAGCAAAGAGTAACTACAGGGAGCTACAGCACACAGCTGTCACCTGCAATGTTCAAATACAGTATTCTGGCTGGAGAGCAGATAAATACATGGAGTGTCAAAAATGGTGTGAATAGGGAGTGGGTAGGAGCCACCTGATGCTCACAAGGGGTGCCTTAGAGGCCACATCCTTTCTCATGGGTGTCCAGAGAAAAAAAAATATCAGTACTGTTCATGAATGCCTTGTGCAATCCTGCAATAAACTACTTTGGAGAAGAGCTTAGCTAACAGAAGATATCCCCTCCTTCGCATCCAACAAGTAAACGAAAACCTCACAGTACGCATGCAAAAGCACTGAGACTTCTGTATAAAATCCACAAACTTAGCTCAGTTCTATTCTTAGTGATATGACTGTCAACAGGTTCTGTGTTACCTCTGTACTTTGTATTTCCATTACAGACTTTTCACAAATTTGCATTCTTTCAAAACGTAAGCCAAAATTCTCATTATAAGAGTCTCTACTTGCCTCAGTAAAGATGGATGAGCTTTAAAAAGAACAATTTCAAACACTAAGTGCAACTTGAGTATTATAACATGAACACAGCTTTAATTTTGAGAGGTAGACACAGCAAGATATGGTGTACGTGGGTGTGATTCATACATATTAATGCCCTAAGTGTGTCATTTGTCTTTACTTGATGTAAATTGCATTTGTCTGTTAGGGCAGAAACTCAACCTACCATACTTTTAACTATTAGCAGCTTCATATGAGAGCTCTGCAAGGAAGAGCACAAATTAAAACCATGTCAGCTGCTGCTCCGGTACAGCACTGGCACCGGGTGCAGGTGCCACGCTCCTGACACATTAACTGCTCAGCTCGAGCTGCAAACCCCCTGAGAAATGCAACTCTCCCCAGTAAATACACACAGTCTTCAGGCTGAAATGCATCTGTAACTATTACTAGCACTCCATGCTTTTCAGATTTGCAATTTTTCAACTTCTAAATTACGGCACTTACATTCGTGAAGAAATCATCTCATTTGTACAGTGTTACCAGCCCTCGTGTACCGCAGTATGATAAAACAGCTGAACAGATCACCCCCAGGCAAGACTGCGTGTATCCTGTTGGTGTACATTTTATCTCTGTTCTGATCCTTTCTCTGCTAGGAAATTAGATCAACCCTACCAGATACGGTAATTTTCCTCATGTCATCTTTTACTGACTAATTTTTTTTTTCTCCTCCTGTAGGCAAGAATGAATCAGAAGCAGCGATAGCTGGTTTCAAGTGCTTTTATACTTGGAAGAATAACTCTTGCACTGAAGAACCAAGTCTCCTCTGATGCTGTCCAAACAACTACCAAACCCAGGACCATTCAAATCCTCACCTTGGACTCTGCTTCTTCAATTCCTACATCACAACAGCAAAAAGCACAGCAGCCACCCTTTGTCTATGCAACCGAGAGCAGCTTGGGATGAAAACCTCTACAGGGAATCAAGAACAGTGCTTGAATCCAAGTGCTGCAGTTTCTCTCTTACACGCACACACCTCACCCATTATCCCCCGTAAGCGTGAAGCCCAAACCACACAACTTCACCACCTCTCACCTGCAAGTCCTGGTGCCCCTTTGCCTTGCCTTCATGCACAGCCCTCACTGCTGCAGGCTTATTTCGGCACAAAGCCACCTCCCCACTCAGCTGCTAGCAGGCAGCAGATGAGCCCTTTGGGGGCGGTGTGGGTGTGTGTTCCTTCACCAAAACCACCCAGACAATGTTATTCAAAACCTTGACACCCTACTATTTGTTTTCTTCTTTTACAGAGTATGATCTCTGCTCCTGGGTGAGAAATCCAGTTCTGCTGCTGTTTATCATGGAGAGACTCAAGGACCAGGCAGAATATAAATGGGGAGAGACAGAGCTGCAGCAAAAGGCAAAGCAGGGGGTGGAACCCCATACCCAGCAGGACAGCCACACATCCTTTTACAAGACAACTGGGGAGGCCTGCTGAGGCACCCCAGCATCAGCTGGATTCAATGGCTTCAAAAAATCCCACCAGCAATGCGAAAGCTCTGCTGCTGCTCGTGCAGCCTCACCTGGGAGCACACCTGCAGAAGGGATGCTGAAATGTGCCACCAGCACTGCTCGAGGTGGGCAGACAACATGCACCCATCCTGCTGGGGAGCATCCCTGTGGGCACTGCTGGACCCCAGGGCGCACTGCAGCCTCAGCCCTGGCTGAAGGAAGGAAAGAAGGAAGGAAGGGCCTCCTCCTGCTGATCAGCTGCTTGCACTTGCCACTACATCCTTCTCTGTACGCTCCTAACTGATGTGGCAGCTAATTGCTGTGTTAATCCTTAGAGCCTATAAAATAGACAGCCCACATCCTTCCAAAAGAACCGATATATCAAAATAAATCCTCTGCAAACCAGCAAAAAAATGAGTCAGAGCGAAGGAGGAAGAACTGGGGGAAGAGTCCTGGGGCTTTGTCTACAGCTGCCGTAAGAGCTCGTATAACTTTATGTCTTTTGAGAGGGCCTCCAGGAAATAAAAAGCCTTGCGCAAGGGGGGAGGGAGAAATCAGTGAAAAATCTGCATGCTTCAGGATCTGATGGCAAAAAAAAATGACTTTGAGAAGTACTTGTAGTTGAACTGATTAAGAAGCAATTTGTTTCACTAATTATCTAAGTAATAAATTGCTAAACAACTCATTTTCTAATAAAATAGTTAATTCTTGCGGTTCTTTGCCTGATTTGTAGATTAATAGATCTTAATTTTGGCTGTTTGAAGTGGTGCATCAACGCTTTACTCAGTAGATAATTTTACACGTACCATCTCTTTGAGAAGACGGGGCTGCCTTTCAGTCATTGCCACGCGTTTGTGGCACGCACCCGTCTCTGTCTCACCCATGGAGGAGAATCCAATATCATCCAGAGAAGAAACCAACAAAGCAGCACCAGATCACATCCCAGGCAGGTGCAAACTGAGGCAGCTCACACAGGGTTATGGATTCGCATGGCCTGGGACCTGCCCCAGGAGTGGGGCTGCCTTCTGCCTCTTTGTTTCTTCACACAAGGTTTCTCGTTAGCTGCTGTGCTGTCAGTACCACGCTGAGCAGATGATCCACGCAGCCCCACAGAGAGAACTGCTTCACAACAAACCCTGCTCCCCCACCTCTCTGCATGACCTGAGCCATGGTCTTTGTCTCAAGTGCCTGGTGAACACCAAGACCCCGATCACCCCCTGCATCCCCAGGGACCAGGTCAGGCAGGGGGTGCTGGTGCTTGCCCCCAGCCTTTGGGGTGCAGCACAGGGTCCGTACAGAGGGCTCACGCCATGCACGTGGTGGGCAGGAGAGGTTGCTTCCAGCACAAACCCCTCAATAGCAATGACATACTGAGACTTTATGGATGAAAGACATTTCTCTCCACTGTGATCTTACAGTTCTCAAGCTACAAGATCCCCTCTAAATCTCCTTGATGGAAGGATTTGGTTATGGGATTTGAAATAGGAAAGAAAACCATGGCCTGATTCTTGGGTTTACTCATGCCCAAGTGTGATGGACAGCAGTAAGAATGGATTTGCATGGTCTGAGATCCCAATGAATTACCATGCTTATTTTCAGTTATACCTAAAAATACCTATCACTAAGCCCATACCAAAGAGAGCAGAAGCCCAACAACATTTGGCTTTTCTCAGAAGCATCAACCAGAAAAGGTGGCTGGGGTAAGGTGTGACCCTGTGATAACTCAGTATGGCATTGCGAGGGAACAGAGACCTAAAAATGTGAGGCATGGAATTAAAATTGAAGGACATCCAAACACATCTGAAAGAAACCAAATAAGAATTTTCTAGTTCAGCCACGTCTTTTGAGCAATATTGTCTAGAAAAGAGTGCACACTATGAAAAATATATATCAGATAGATTTCTGGATTTACTGGACATTGCTCTTTATTTTGGTAGATTTGTTCCTTATTTGCTACTAATCTTTTTGATAGTTGCAATCCTGCAGTAGGGTCACAAAAAAGCTGAGTTGGAAAACAAGAGATTGAGTCACACCTGCAGCCTATAAAGCAAGTCATACACCCACAGAGAGACCAGAACACCTCATGTGGATTCATGTTCTCCAAGTAAGCAGTACCGATACTGGTTTGCTTTAAAATCGACAGGATTGCAGTTAAATAAAGGCTGCAAGCTCTCAGCTGTAAGGGCATATTTTTCTCATCAAGGAAGCAGTGCAGTGTCTCAGCACTAGGAACAAGGTGCCTGTTGGGCTAGGGACTGGGGTTTGGGGTCTGAGAGGTTGAAACAAGCCGGAGGATGAGGACCACCAGCCACGGGCAGCAGCCCCAGAGCTTAGGGGTGTCCCAAAGCTGCCTGGACCTGGGGCTCGGCACCCTGCTCGGGGGGGTCCTGCTGGAGCAGGGGTTGGACCTGGTGATCTCCAGAGGTCCCTTCCCACCCCAGCCATTCCCTGACTGAGAAACTCAGGTGTACCTACTGATAGTCAGAGGTGGGTCAAACAGACTTCCACTTTCAGCTGGACACCAAGCCAGTATTTCATTACATCTCATACAGTGGCAACCCTCTCAGCTCAAGCACCAACAGAACCTGCTTCCTGGCTGGCCTCTAAAATCCATATTATTCGTGGCATCTTCTACATTGATGTGAAACTGCATATAAATTTTAGCGCTCAGGAAGGAAAAAAAATACTTCTGTGAAATTCTGACTCCTTGCCAAAGACCATTTCAATTGGTAGCATGCATGTTTAATGAGGTGGGTTTTTTCTTCGGTGATAGTTGGAAACTTAGTTCCCTGAGCAAGTTTGAATTTTAATTTTTTTTTAGTTATTCAACAATAGCGCTAGGCACACATTAACAAAAAGCAATTATTCCTGACATCTCAGCACTTATTCCATGTCATTTCAGAACAGAACTGTGTAGCAAATGAGGATTTTGAGTTACACAATGCAGAGTGAGGAAAGCTAAAGTACTATTTTTCTTTCCAAAAAGGTGGATTCAAGGTTTCAAAGCACAGGAGATGCAGGTTAATGTTAAACACGGTTTAAGCTCCCACATTTTGAATCTGTGAATTTTGAAGAGTCCCCAAAATAATGACAAGCTTGCTGGGACAGACACCGACAGAAACATTGGCCACGTGAAATTAGATGAATAACTCTTACTGCACCTTCGTGCACCGAAATAAAAGTGGGAGCAGGGATGGGGCCAGGAGTGCTTGTCCCCCACAGCCTGCTCCAGCACCCAAAACTCATGGAATGGGTCTGCGTGAGTCCCTCCTGGACCGATGGGATTCTTCTCTGGTTTAGCATGGGGAGGAGATGAGATCCTACAGGAACCACCTGGTTACATGTGTATTCCGGAAACTTTCTGGAGCCCTTGGAGGAAATGGAGAGATTTGATCATAATTTCCAGGGTAGATGCTCAGATAAAGAGTAAATGCTTTCAGTAGCGTCTTGCATTTTTCAAGTTTCCCAAGATAAATCCCTGGAGGAACATTTCTATATTTAGATGTTATCTATATGTATGTATAATCAAGTTGCTTAGTACATTATTCAAAGAAATATGTAAACTAGATTTACGTGCAGTGCATTTTTTAAGATCTAATTTGAAAAATATGTTTGAGAAAATTCGTGGTGGGCCACAGCTGTTCTAGGATGAAAATTAGTCAACCTATAAGCAAGCTGGAACAAACTGTACAAAAATAATTATTTGGGAATTATTACAGCCTCTCTACATACACAAACAAAATTGAAAGGATACCAGACAGAGTCTATAACTAGCATGTTATTGATAGTGCTGCTATTACTTACAAGTGTATTCTACTAATATTGGTTTGGCTTAACACAAGAATCAACTAATCATCTGATAAGTACACGCAAGATTGCTCCTACCATGTACCAAGTCATATGCAAATTTAGCCTGTTAGCAGCTTTTCACTTATGATATTCGGAATAATTGTTTGTCCCTCGGACACATGCACTGAACACTACTGGACAGAATCATGTTTATGAGAAGCAAAAAAAAAAATCTATGCTTTCTTCCCTGTTCCATATACATAAAAATACCCTCAGGAATGTTTTGCTGAAAATCTGATGTTCAAAGTACTTTTATTAACAATTGTATCATTACTTATTAATCCAAAACTCACACTATTTTTCTTTAGGTATTTACAGAAATGTGGTTTACATCTTATGATTGGAAAAATGGGTGTTATGATTTTTCTTCTATTTTCTGTTTATAGCAAATGAGAAAGTCTTCCTAATTCATTATAAAACTCATTTGTCATATCAGATTACTTTTAAATTAGCTTTGCCCCCGTGTTTTCCATATTTAGTTCTGAGAGTTATTGCTTTCCATTGTGAAAATCTCTGCCTGCCCGTCTGAGAAAGGGACTAATCCTGATCCCATTAGTGCCACACACAGCAAACCAAACAGAAGTTTCCTGGTCTGATCCTCCTCCCTTTCCCTGCCGTGCAGTCACGCACACCAGGACACAGTGGGTTGGGGACCCCAAAACCAGAGCTGGGCAGCAGGAACGCACTCCCCACACAGGGACAGCCTGAGCCAGGGCTGCCAGAGGAGCAGGTCCAGGGCACCCAGGGCCCTCTTCCAATGCTGAGCAACACAGTGCCTAAAATCTCACACACACCGCACTGCAACAAGACTACAGAAAAAGCTGGGAAAAAAATGAAATTGCCCTCTCATGCTGCAGAAGAATAGCTTCCCACAGAAAGGACATGGAAAAAAAAAGTTATCTTGCAAGCATCAGCAAAAGCTCAGTGTAATTACAAGAGCTAACAGAGTAACAGGCTCACAATAACATGTTGTGGG